AATTTTTATCATTTAATTTCAGGATACTCTCGAGTATATCCTCCTCGTCAACATTGTCTTCTACTGATGAATTTTCAGTTTCTCCCTCTAAAGCACTAACGTTATCGAGCCTCACTGATAGGTCTTGAAGGTATTTCATTGCCTTTTTTCTTTCTTCGGCCGTTAGAAGGCACTTGTAACGTGGGTCCATAAAGACCGCAGGCAAGAAAACGTCACAATCTATGATGGCCGTCTCTCTATTCTTCATAGCATTGACAACGCGCCTGGCTAGGAGTGTTCCCACCTTTTCAGTCCGAAGCAGGCAAGCCTTCCATTCGCCGTAAAACTGACCTGCGGTGAGGTCAGCCGCCTGTAGTTTCTTGGTGGTCATGGCAGCGGGCTCCAAGGCAGTACAGTAGGCAACAATCTGTCGCCACTGGTACGGTGACAAATTAGGAAGGGCTCTCTCTTTTTTCTTGCGTTTGCCTTCGTTGCCTTTGCTATTCTCTGTGTGCTCGTCTGTCTTGCTATTCTTTTTGCTCTTGCCTGTCTTGCTCTTCTTTTTGTTCTTCTTGTCTGTCTTCTTGCGCTTTTTGGATGCAGCCAATGCAGCCTTTGCAGCCTCCTCCTCTTCACAAATTTCTTCTATGGCCGGTTGTAGTTTAATGAGTGATTCCATCATGGCGTAGGTCGACCCCCAGCGGGTGTCATTTGAAAGAACCGCCTTGGTAAAGCCCTTCCTCTTCACCTGCACGGAGTAGTGATGAGTCCGGAGCTTCTTTGCTAGGCGCTGCGCTCTCTTGATCGCCGACTGCACCGCTGGAACGTTGACCGCCTCGTCCACTGCCAGCTGTAGAGTGTGTGCTGCGCAGGGCACGTATACCACGCCACTGAACTGCACGCCGTGCTTGATGGCGAGACACTGCTCGCAAACGTCAGCGTCAGCCGGCTCCGCAGCTTGCTCTCCGTCCTCATCTTGGACGAAGTCAATCTCGCCGAGACTTGGGAAGAGAATGTCCTCGTCGCCAGAGCCCGGTTCATCCTCGAGCTCCGTGGCTGAATCGCTCTCGCTCTCATCTCCACTGAAAGATTAAAACATGGT